TGGAGTGGGGTCGGGCCCGTGCGCCTGCCTCCCGCGCCCTCTCCCGAGTCCCGGAGTCCTAGTGAAAGGAAGGGGGAGGACGCGGGCGGGAGAGGGGGAGGGTCGGAGCGCGGCCGAGCAGAGCGGGGACTGCCACCCCGCCAGCTGCCTCGGAGGGGGCGCCCACAGGGCTCCCTCTCGAGCTCAGGAGCCGCTTCCCGCGGGAGCCGGGGGAGGTGCAGCCTGGAGCTGGCGAGCGAGTGAGCGAGCTACCTCTCCCGCCACCCCGCGCTTGGGGTATTTCGGTCAATGGGAGGGAGCGGGGATCTGGCCTGGGGAGAAGACAAACAGTTCGTGGAGGCCACTCGGGGACCGCTTGCCGCCCGCCGCGCCCCTCCCGCTCCCCAGTGCCCTCGCGGCCCAGTGGCTCCTGCTAGTCCGAGTCTGCCGCGGAGACTGGGCGGCCGCGGGGACCGCCGCGGGCTCGGAGCTTCCCGGGCTCAATACTGCCACTATCTGACACAACAGGAGCAGTGTTGGGGGGAGCTGCGCCAAGGCTGGAGATGTGATAGGCTCTGGAAACTGGGTGCATTTTTTTTTTTTAACCTGGTAATTACATTTCACTTTCAGGGATTTATTTTTTTTGTTAAACTACATGTATGCATTCAGATGCTCATGTTCGTTTTTGTTTTCTGTTTTTTTGTTGTTGTTTTTTTCCGCTATTCACAAGAAGTGTAGACTTGATGAGGGGGAAACACAAGGAGAACTGATAAACACATGTTCATATACAGTTCCCTAATCAGGCTGGTGGAACCAAATAAGGTGGAATGTCTTCAGTTTATACCAAAAAAAAAAAAAAAAGTGGTATTATTCATGACTTTGAGGACTCGAATTTGGGCAGCAATTAAAGGTCATCCGAGGAATCCAGGAATCGAACCTGCAGGGACATTTCTACATCACAAAGCAACACAGGACAGACAGGAATGGTTTTGCTTAAAACCTGCAGATAGAGTTGCTAAGAACTCTGATTCTGAGAGTTTCCTTTACTACTAGTTTCCATACAAAAGTTTGGGAACATTTGGACTGAGGGATGAGTTGAAAGTAAGTGGGGTCGTCCTCTCACCAACCATACTAGCCACTGCCTACCTGGTTCAACTGCTGGTTTCATCAGGGACCTTCATTAGACCTCATCACTATTTACAGGAACACCACAGTGAAATGGGGAGTGGAAGGAGACTGGGTAGGAGGAAACTTCCTCCACTCCATCCTGGTGGGCTTTCTGGGTGGGATTAAATCTGATTCTAAACAAGAAAGTTCACGCCTCTCTGTACCATAAACATATTTCTGTGGTGTTTTATTTTTCAAATGAATGTTCTGATTGGTCACAAGCTTTTTCCTCTGATACTTATCACACCTGGGTTGTAACTAGGTTTCAATAGTTTGTTAGCTTTTATATTGGAGTGTGACTGTTTTGTTATTAGGTCATGTTAAGTAGATTCCTTCTTCAGAACTCTATAGGATAGAGTAGAATTCTCCCTTAAGTTTCCTAGGTTGGAATTTTTACAGGAGCAGATCTCCAAAGATTCTGGTAGATTCCAACTGCCAGTTTTTGGATTACTAGCTAAGCACTTAACCATTGCACCACCAGGGATCCTTAGAGTTTGGCTAGTAGCGAGAAAGTAATGCTTAATTAGAAAAAATAAATCATGGGTTTTGGATTAATGTTATGAAATAGAAATTAAGGAACAAAATAGTAATGTCAAACAGCTGTTCTCTTTTTTCAGATGACATTTGCCCATTTGTTTGTGTAAATGATTGTGGAATCATACATCAAAGTCCTTGGAGAACTAAAATAGCACATAGGCCATTTCCTATGCTTTCCAAACGGAGAAATTGAGTCCCAGAAATCAGGAGGAATTGTTCACAGTCGTATAGCTGACTATATATCATCAGAGGGAGAACTCAAGTTTGCTGCCATGTCCTATGTGTTCTGTCATCTAGGCATAGTCCCAGGTCTTCCTGTGCTGTTCTGTTTACTTGAAAAGCTCATGCCTTATTAAAAACTCACTATAATAGATGGTAAGTAGATCAGTAGAACTATAGACTTAGTGTAGTAAAAGTTCACCTGGAAGGTCACCTAGTCAAACTTCATCATCTTAAAGCTGTAGAAAGGAGTAAATGGACTGGTTAAGGTCACACAGTTGTTTCTGACTTCTCATCCAGTGGCCCTTCCGTACATGTAACCTCTCTTTTGATCATGAGTGGTAAGAAGAGGAGAAGGAAAGGGGCCAATCCTGTCACTCTTTGTAATATACTGGAGGTATTGCCAAAAGTTTGTGGGGAAGTTCTATTATCTTTCCATACCATTTTTCCATGAACTTTTTGAAGCCTTCTGATAGATAAAGTTAATGTAAATTGTAATATAATATATAAATATATTTGTAGTATGTTGTTGTTGTTCTTTAGTGCCATTGAGTCGGTTCCCATAGCAACCCCATATAGAGTTTCCAAGGAGTGTCTGGTGCAATTGAACCACCGACCTGGTGATTCAAACCAACTTTGCAGTCCAACACATAAGCCCACAGCGCCACACCAGGACTCCATATTTGTAGTATATACTGTATGAAATAAAATTTAAAAGATGCTATATATTTGCATAGAAAATACATTATATTTATATAATGTATAATTATACAGGGTCCTGGTATGGTGCTGTGAGTTAATGTGCCAGACTGCAAAGCTATTTGCACTGCAAGGTCAGCAGATCAAGCTCACCAGCTGCTCCTTGGAAACCCTATATAGGGTCGCTACAGGTCAGAACTGACTCAACAGCACTTAGCAACAACAACAACATAATTATACAATGTAAAATAAAATAATGGTGCTCAGGTGACTCTGTAGGTTACTCTGTGGGCTGTTAACCACAAGGTCAGCAAGCAGTTCAAGCCCACAAACCAATCCTAAGGAGAAGGACGAGGCTCTCTACTCCCACAAAGATTTACAGTCTCAGAAACCCTATACAGAATCACTGTTAGTCAGTGTCAACTTCATGGCCGTTGGATGATAGGTGGATGGGTGGTGCAAATGGTTAAGCAATCGATTGCCACCCAAGTGGTTGGTGGTTCGAGTCCACCAAGAGGCACCTTGAAACGCATACCTTGAAAGGCATGTAAATTGGCTTCCAAAAGATCACAGCTTTGAAAACCCTAGTTTGCATATATGAAGTTGCATTAGTCAGAATCAACTTAATGGCAGCTAACAATAAGACACATAATCATAAATAATTTGTTGTTGTTGTTAAGTGCCATCAAGTCGGTTCCAACCCATAGTGACCCTGTATAGGGTTTCCAAGGAGCAGTTGGTGAGCTTGAACTCCCAACCTGACTTCGCAGTCCAATGCATTAACCCACACGAGGACTCCAATCATAATTAATATGAAATATAACCTTAAACGTATAAATTTAAATCATTATGAATATGTATGTAATTTATTTATTTGCAGATAAATATACTATGGTGGTGGCTGTATACCGTGGAGTTGGTTCCGACTCATAGCGACCCTGTACAGGATTTCCGGGGCTGTAAACGTTTACAGGAGCAGAAAACTTCATCTTTCTTGCGTGGAGCAGCTGGTAGTTTCAAACTGCTGACCTTGCAGTTCGCAGCCCGATTTGTAACCACTATGCTACCAGAAAGTAAATCTAATTATGGCATATAGCCATTATCCATCTATGTGATGGCTAATGCGATACAGGAAGCTACAGCATTGGCATTTTAAATAACAGTAGAGTCATCAAGGTTGGGAAGGGTTCAACAGAGTTTCCAGATTAAGATGGATTTAGAAAAAATGAGAGGCAGACCACTTCTGAATTGTTAACTCCTAAAACCTTATGAAGAGCAGTAGGCCATGCCAGAAGATGAGCGTCTCAGCTTGTAAGACATTCAAAATATGACTAGGGAAGAGCTGCCTCCTCAAAGTAAATTTGATCTTAATGAACTGGGGAAAGCAGCAAGGCTTTCAGGCCTGTCATTTGTTGTTGGGAAAGAACTCAAAATGAGAAGAAACAGCTGTAAGTAACATTCACTAAGAATTGGAATGTGGAATGTATGAAGCATGAATCTAGGAAGCTTGGAAATCATCAAAAATGAAATGGAGGGGAGGCGGCAAGATGGCAGGCTAAGCAGAAAGATCAGACAGACCTTCTACAACAAACACAAAGTCAAATGAAACACATGCAGATGATAGTCCTGGAACCCTGAGCTTCAGACGAAGGGATAGAGGAGTGGGTTGAATGCTTACTAGGAGAGAGAGCTGAAGAGATGCAGCAAGAAAAGGAAACAGATTGCTGACTGACCATCTTAAACTTTTGTGAGTGTCTTCAGAGACTAGATAGCATATTGGCATTTC